ATTCACACATGTGAAGAGACCAGAAAGTAGCTGTTGTTTGCCTCCTGTAAGGACAGGGTGTGATGCATAYTGGGGTGTTGGTTTTAATCTTGTGGTTTTGTAGGTTGAGTAAGGACACCAAGTGCATGTATGTTGTGTTGTTGGTTATTGCTAACTGTTCAGATTGTGATAGGATGTAGTGTGCAAACATTTGCTTTGTGATCAGCTCTTGATTTTGGAAACTCARTGTTCAGATTATTGTAAAAACAGAGCTGTTGATGGCAGTCCTGTTGGTGGCAATGGAGATGTGGTTTGAATAAAGTATCACTTCAGACTTGTTTGGAGGTGGTGTTGGTAAGCAAACAAAAAATAATGTAGGCTGTTCTAATTCAGTGGGATTCAGAGATGGAGTTTGAGGCTGTGACCAAACCTCATCCATCTGTTTCTCTCCAAGTCACTTTTTGTGCTCCACKCCCCAAGCTGTGGTCTGAGAGTAACCAATACTTAGTGCTGTTAGGCTGTGCATCATGTAGCCTTAAAATGCTTAGAGAAATCATTAAATATTTCTTAATATATTGAGGTAATGAATCACATTGCAATTTATAGTCTAAAAATGGTTAAGTGGTAGAATACTTCTCTCTTACTGACCTTAACCTAAAATAATCCTGTTTTTCAGAAAAATATGCTACGATTGTGGGGTTTTTTATTATATTTTTACACTATCTAAGTGATGGAAAATAATGTGGCCAGACGCCAGTCCTTCTCCCCAAGTTTGACCTCGCAGTTATTCTGTTGTGGGTGACGTGGAACAGGCATACATTATTTCCATTTTTATAATGTGTCTTTTTTTTTGTGTTGTATTTCATTGAAGTCTGTTTGCTCTAGTGAAGCATTAATGTGGAGATATTTCTAAAATATTAGCCTGAGAAGTAATTGTAAATCATTCCTATTCATGAATTTTTTTAGTGTATCSTATTGTTACTCTATTTAAATTAAAAATTCCAATACAGGGTGTGCTGTTAATTTTATGCATTCTGCGCAGTGGAACAAAATACAGCATCAAGCAGTAATTAATTGTGAAATCCTTAAGTGGTGGTGTTTATTTAATGATGGTCAGTTGAAATGTATTTTAATKTGTTAGGATTCTCTTGCTCATTAACAGTCTGAAATACCCAATATGGACTGTAACATTTATGTTGATTAGTTTTACTTAGAAAAGTAAACTGATACTTTTGGAACCAAAAGAATCAAGAATGTGCTCCAGCTTTTTGATATCTTGAAAATGTGAGTCTATAGGTTTATATATAAAAAAAAAAACCTAACAATAAATGGGAGTGCTTTAATTGTAGGTTGATTGSTCTTTCACTTGAGTGTGTGTTGACTGAAAAGAAATGGTGTAGAAGAATTCTTGAACCTATTTTAGACTATTTGAATGGTGATGGTATTGTATTAGGTGGCAACAACTAAGTTAGGATTCTGTGATGACAKGAATTTCAAACCCACTTTTTAAAATTTATGTCACTTCTCTGCCTACATCGCACTTGTGCATTCATGTGACCTGGCTTTAATCTAACATTTGGTAAATATTTGCATAGTAATTCCTAAAGTGTTCTCCCACACATAAAGGAAATGATGATAAACAGCTTTTAAGTGGCTTGATGTTAAACACAAACATGACTTGCAGCCCTAAGGTAAAACGCGCATTAGAGTAACTGTTCAATATTCATTTGGCAAGTGCTGTTAAGAATTACACCAGGTAACTTATTCATGCTTTTTCTTTATGTATTTAGATGTTTCTGGTTTATATCTCAGCTGAACTTCTGCCTGAGGGTTATATACTGTGCTGTAAGAGAACTTCTCCCTACTTGTGAGGTTAGGATTTTTTTGAACCATAGAGCACAGCTAGATTCAGGTATACATACCTGAATGTTGCCCAGAGCTTCCAGGCTGTTGTTTGTTTTTATGAGAGGCTCATTTTTTGTTTTTCAAAACAATGTATTTCTTTTTAAGCATGTCAAATGCTAGCGTTTAATGGTGATGATTAAGAAGATACAGTGACAAATTATACTAGATCCCGTCATTCATTAGAATAAGACTTTAATCTCAAGCTAGAAAAAGTCCAAAAGCCAGCAAAAMAGCAGCTAAGAAACAAAAAAATCCTTGCCCTAGCATTTTAGAATAGTTCTTTCTTTGCTTTATATTTCATAGCTTCTCAGCAAGTACTTTCTCAATAAGTATGCCCTTAATGAATCTCTTCCCTGTTCAAAAATCGGGTGTCATCTTATGCATTGTTTGTAAACTTTGTCATTCAGCATTTTCTGCTTTCAGGAGATAAGCAGTTATTAAGCAGTTTAAGCCATCTAGGATTGGTCCTTCACACAGCCTGTCACCTGTGTTACTGGTGTTATTGGGTGCTGCTGACTTTCAGACTATKCAGAAGACACTACAGAAGCCGGAAAGCTCTCTGTTTTGCAAGACTTACAGTGATACACTTTAGGAAGTGTAAAGTTACTCTGTTACTTTGGAAATGYAGTCTCCTGCCTAGGAGTTTTAAAACACAGGAAACCAGGAGTGTTCTTAAAGCTCCCTTTGATTGTTGTATCGTAGTAAAGCACAAGAAACTTAAAGTAAGACCATCCTTTTCCTGAGCAAGTTTCATTTGCTGTGATAATGATTCTACCTTGGATGTACCACTGTTATSTTTTGGACCTGTTCTACTCTTTGAGCTCTAAATAATATGTGAAATATGAGTAAGTGCCTATGCATGTAGAGACAATGGGGCTACATRGGACTACTTTGGGTCTTCAGATACTCAAGTTTTACATCTGCTGGTAGTTAATGGCTTGTTTTAAATAGTGAGTTTTCTAAAATACCRATGTCTTATATAGTGAAGCTGTCTGGACTGTATATGAGAATGAAGAAAGATGTATGTATAGATTTTAGTTTTGTTTGGTTTTTTAATAGACACTTTGTATCCAATGCATGGCAGTGTTTGGAGTTGCTCCAAGGAACCAAAAAGGTTCTCTGTCTTTTAAGTCTCTTTTGAATGGGTGAGTGGTTTTGCTGGTCAGATGAGCCATTATTACTACTGTGACTGTGTGGAAGGAATTTCTTCCACCTATGCTATGTAGCAGCTGTTGCTGTTTGCTTCATCAAAAAAGTATATAAAAAACTCCCTGCCCTCAGCGTGGGTTTTTAACTTTCAGGGGTGAAGTTCATGTAAGTTAATAGAAGGCAGTCTCACATTTGTATTTCTGAGGCATCAAGTGTTCAGTCTTGCTGTAGTTCCTGGTGGTTATTGTAATTGGGGAGTCCTTGAGATCAGAAGGTCATAATGTGTTTATGCTGTGTGTGCCTGAACCACAATATGTGTGAGTGCAAAACCTAAACCATTAAGAAGTACTTTYCTTCAAAGGAAACTGTGAATCCTGTTCTAGTTTACTTTGTGTATGAATTGACATTCTTTTCTTTTAGGGAATCTAGATTCTTTTACATTGGCTGCAGTTGTTCCAAAGGATTAATACGGAATGGCATCTTCTGATCTTTGAAAATGTTTTAGAGATATTCTCTTGATATTGCCACGGACAGAAATCATTAAATGACTGTACTAGCTGTGGCCCAAAGTAAAAGCTTAGGAAGTCATTAAGTTTAATGTTGTTTAGGGTGGCTGTGTGTCTTGAGCTTGTGCCCTGCCAACTTGCAGCATTCAATGGGGACAGTAGGGTTTTTACACTAGTTTTTTCTTTGTTTCTATGTCAGTGACASATCTGTGGTGATGCAGCTGCTGAATCGCAAATAAAAGTGAACACTGAAAGCAAAATATTCTAATCAGCTCTATATTTTTTAACTTAAGAATAATTCTTAACACTTCAACAGCATAATACATASAACAGGTTTTAATGCATCTTCAGCCAAATAGGTTAGCCACAGAAGTTTGCCTAATTAAGAGGAGTGATTTTCAATTATGCTGGTTTTGTGTTGCTAGCTATTAAAAGCTTTTGTGGCTGCATTAGTTAAAAGGCTCAGGAGATACATCTGTAGCTACTGATGCGTTCTGGTTGTAGAGTATCATGTTTTTTATGTTTATTAGTAGGGTCAAGCTACACTTCTTTTCAAGGTATCTGCATTAGGTAAATTGTATTATCTAAATTAACATGCTGATTTATTGCACAGAGGTACGTTTCTTTCCTGCGTTTTAATCTTACAATTTTATGGTTATGGTAAAAAAAAACCTAAGCCCTGGACTTAAAGATGGAACTTTGAGCTGTAATAATTGTCCACACTTCATCACTTCCCAGAGAAAAAAGCATATTAATTGATGTTCTTAAATTTTGTAGTTTTGAACAAGAGATACATGGAATGAATCAACATTTGCTATTGCACAAGTGGGTGGTTTCACTGCAAAATGAAACAAGTGTAACAAGAGGGAAATTACAGATTAAATAAGTTACAAGTAGGCAAACTTTTAGATGCTTTGTTGTGTGGTTGTCATGCAGCCATACTGTATCTAGTTGTACATAACCCTCAGTGGGTCATCARTGATCATCTTTTTTTGTCCATTTCTGAAACATTCCTCAGAGCTATGTGCATGCATGCCACTTTCCTGRCCCTTAATTTTAGCATATTCTGACCACTCTCCATAATATTTGATGGAGGAYTYAAATATGCTTTACARTCCAACCYAAGCATGTTTTCTTTCTTCATTGTRCTGTAGCAGATGCAACATTCATCAATGSCAGTGCCACAGAGTACTCCAAAATGTCATTGTGATTCAGTGAACTGCCATGTGCTCGTTAAACCACCATAACTTGCCCTAGGAGGACAAGCCTTAACTAAGGCAGTTCAGACATAAATACCACTTAGCCTGTCCCCCTTGCAAGTTATGTGTACACAGGTAACTGATGTAGTTTGGAGATGGTGACTACAGACTGTCTGCTCTCTGATTTTTTTATTTCCTGTCAGGGAGAATTTGTTGTTCAGCAGTACTCACTGAGCCTTTTGGTTTCAGGGTCAGTGGAACGATGGCTAAACTCCTGGTTATTGAAGTGAAGGAGTTAATATATGACGAAAACATTAGTTTTGAAGAATTAACGTGATCCCTGTTAGTATGGTATACAGTGYGGTATTGGAATTTGAGAGTATTTATTTGTGAAAGCAAACTGGGATTTATTAGTTTGGGTTTTTTTTGCCACAATAACCTAATCTATCTCCTCAGAAAAAGAAATGATGGTTGTGTTTTATATATCTAAAAATGAAGGATACACCTGCCCCCAACCTGCAAGTAGTGGTGCATGTCCATCCATATATATATTTATTTAAATGTTTGTGCTGATAATTAGCAAAATATTCCAGCTGTAAAGGATTGTAAAACAAAAAKAATTTTAAAGAAAATTATTTTAAATTAACTATTCAAATAAAGATTGATAAGGAAATAAAAATGTATGTTTTAAAGTTCMCTTGCATAGTGTTCCACAGGTAGTGTCTTGTTTTTCATCTGAAGTTTCCATTTGCTCTTAGTTTCTATTCTGGATAGTGCCTCCAATCCTCTACCTCTGAAGGGGACAGTAGGTTGAAAACAGGCGGGACACAAAGCTGCTTTGTCTGACAGCACTAAAATCATGCAAGGGTTATGTTAAAAAGTTTTGTATCTGTCTTACAGGATCCAGCTTCCTGGGTAAATATCCACCACCTGGAGTACACAGATGGAGGAATCCTGGACCCAGATGATGTGCTGGCAGATGTTGTGGAAGACAAAGATAAGGTAGAGCTTGTGAAGCTATTATGAAGATATKATGCGTCTTTTCAAATAACGAACGCCACTTTCTCATTTCTTGGACATCTGGCAGGTGAAATGGGCGTTAAATATTCTTAAACACATCTGCCCATAGGTGCTATAACTCTCCCCTTCTGGAGCAGAAGTGGGGACTGGGCAGCATGACCAAAGCAGTGAGAAGAGAAGCCTATCAGTTCACTGAGGACTTAACCTTCTCWAGCAGTTCTGTGGGTTTTTTTAATWTCTGTATTCAAATAGACTGGTGAAAAAAATGTGAGTTTCACAAGACTATTTTTTTTATGCCACTTAAAATATCTTTTATAATCTCTTCCTTTGCATGGAGTTAAGTTTTTGAGAATCATTCAAATGCAATGGTAGAGTGTGACAAAATAGACAAATCCTATGATGACAAGAACAGCTGCTTYAACTGTGATAAATTTCAGGAGGAGTTCTTATGATTTGCTACTGAAAGTCTAAGCAGGCCGCTTATTAATATTGAAAGCTGTGAGTCTCTAAATTTCAATTCAAATAAAATAGATTTCCTTTCTGGGTAGAGAAGCAGTTGCTGCAGAAAAACCCCTTTTAATTTTTTCTTTAATTGTCACAAAAATTTAATTTTGGGAAACTTATCAATAACTTATTTCAGCATAGGGGGAGGGGTATTATTTATAAATGTTTGCTCTTTTTATCTTTTTTTCTTCATAGAATCAGAGGAAAAATACTTAATGGCTTGAAACCAAAGATCTAAATATGGGATATGCCTGTGCTTTTAGACAAATAGCTTCATCTATTTTAAGTGCCATATGCTTGGTGACTTAAAAAATAATTTAGTATAYTGTAAGAAGAATTGATAGTTTTGCATGCTGTGTTGATTCTTCAATGACTTAACACAAAGCAGAATATTTTGCTAAATATTAATGAGATGCTGCTTCTCTGTATCTGGAAAATTAGGGTGTACTTCAATGTCATTTTAGGGTGGTTTGTATGGGAATTCTTAAAAACAATGGAGCTCTGTTTGTTATATGTTCTGTCATGTTTTTGTTTCTTGCTTGTCCACGTTTACTGAAAGTATACTTAGAACACCTTAAGATTTTTTTCCCCAGGGGTGTTTGGAGACTATAAGACTGAATTCTAAAATTGAACAGCTGCATGTAATGGATAAGACCAATRGCATAAGATGTCATAAAAATGAGATATTACATCAAAGGGATGTRTGTTAGTGATCTGATCAGTTAATGAAGATTAACACATTCACCCAGGATTTTCTCTATTYAAAGTACTGATGGAGGAACACTTGTGCAAGTATGAACATCAATGTGCAGAATATTTGATATGCCATCCAGTTTTTAACTTGTGACCAGAGCCTTTGCTTCTGACAGCCACCACTTCATTGGTGGCTGTCACTGGTTGCATGTATAAAGCTGATAAAGCTTCTAGTTCACACACAGCTGCAGGTCTAAGCTTCCCCAGTTACAAAAGTGTTAGGTGAGACTGAGGCTGCCTTGGGGAAAGCTTGCTGGGAAACTGGAATCTTCAAAGTGGTCTGGGGTGGTTTAGGAATACAGTAAACTACTCAGTTCCTCTTCCTCTGATGCCTCAATTACAGGTGATGTATCACTATCATCTTTTCTTCTTCAGAGTGGCTTGGTGAAACAAGGATAAGACTTACTGAACAGSAGCAGCTGCAGTGACAAATCAGATTTTTTCAATTAAAGCAAGGAGGAATGATGTAAGGGATCTGCTGGTCTGAGTGGCTGAAAAATTCTTTCATTTGGGAATGGAATTGGGCCATAGCKTGTGTAAGGAGCTGTCCATACTACCTACTTACAAGTTTGGTATGATCTAGTATCAAAGAACCAGCGCCATAAAAGGCTTATGAATAGTTTTGATAGCTTTACTGTGGCCTGTTAGTCTTTGAGCCTTCACCAGTGTTATTTCACACTGAGAATCTCAACCAGGGGATCTCTAAGCTTTGCAAAATGGGGAAGGAGTAATTTTGGTCAAATTGACCTGCTATCTTATTGGTGTTTAAAGCTCCTGAATAGATGAAGGAATTTTTGGTRCATTTATCTGTGCTCTGCTTGTCTTTGGTTTTGATTTTCTCTATATGTGATAAGTGAATAGGCCATGGCTTTGGGGCTCCCTTGTCCTTGTCATCCTTTCCTGTGCATCCAAGCCAGTGATATACTTTGGCATTTAATCAGTCACTTTTTATAAAAAATAAGCCTTACACTTAACCTCAGTCCCTTTAACCAAAGGTGTGTTTGGCACTGCTGACCATTAAACTCTTTTTCAGTGGCACAGTAAACGCTGATGCTTTTTAAGAGATAATCTGCTCTGGATCATGCTTTGATAGCAGTAAATTAGYACAGTTTCTTCAGAGGAAAATATCTATTGAATTCTTTCACTGTGACAACAAAACAGTGAGTGCTATCAGATATAATTTATTTGCAATTTCAAAAGCTTTTGACAGTCCTTAACAATAGGCTGTTAAGGAGAGGCGACTACTCCTGAGGTAAGCAGCAAGTGCTGTGGAGGGTTAGTGAACAATTGAGAGGACACTAAAAAATGGAATAAACGATCCAGCTCTGAAATAATGGCACTAGGATGCATGATGCCCATAATTGGGAGTGGCAGTGGTTTTGAGCTGTGCTTATGTTAACTTCATGGTTTTCTCTTGAACTCYAAATTAATCAAAGTTTGGCAATAGGCAGCACAGTGGATGATATTAAGAGCTGTCAGCTGCATGCTGGACAGTTATGCATGCTGGACAGAGTGGCTTTTTTAAATTGGCTATAACACAGATCTAAATTAGAATTACACRTGCTTGGTAAAGTGTCATTTGAAAATGCTTTGGAAATTCTTGTGGCTGAGAGTCCCTCTTACTGCTGTTGCCTCAGCAATAATCTGTGGCCTGAATTGGATGTKAAAGCTCGTTGACATAGTTTCACAGAATAGATTTAAAATAGTTTGTTTTCAGTGAGTTATCCAGCAATTTTTTCAAGTCCTAATAATCTGAATGATGAATTAATTAAAATTGCCAAATTCTGTCAGTTGAATAAGAATATGCTATTTCAATTGTCTGATTTTAATGTTGAAGCTATAAATGGAATCCTCTTTGTACACTTTGTTCTTAACAAATCTCCCACTTGAAATGACTTCTTGCACAAGAAAATGTAGGGAGAAAATTTATTGGTTGGGGAAAAGATGGAGTGTGAAAAGTTTCCTTTCATACCATTGTGTACATGGAGCCCTGTGCTTGGCACTTATCTTAAATGCATAAACGTAATGTACACATCTAGACTTTGCTCTGATTTTTATATGGAATCATGTTCTCTAATACTCACAAACACCTGTGAGGAGGCTAAGAGGATGTAATGAAGGCCTGTGTTAACTTAAAGCTTACTTACCTTATGGGACAACAAGCTTCCTAGATCAGAACAGTTCTGCTTTCTTAATAAATGTAGAAGTCTACACGGAAAATACACTGTCTATCAAACTTTCTATGTATATTTATGTTCATATTTTGACAGGATTAAATACAAGCAAAAATACCTGTTTACAGGTATGCCTTTTCAGCAGAGCCCTTCTGAAGTAGAAGATGGTGGTCTGCTATCAGGGTGCTGGGTTTTTTTTTTTTGTTTTGTTTGGGTTGTTTTGATTTTGTTTTGTGCTTTTCGTTTGTTTGCTTTTGTGTGTTTTTGTTGTTGTTGCTTGGTACTTTTTGGTTTTTGGGGATATCTTTGGTGTTGTTTTGTAAGATTGTGTTTGCAAGGGTGGTATTGCAGTAGCTACAGCTGGGCCAACAAAGCTGCTGAACATTTTTGTAAAGAATCATTTTCTGATCAGTGCTGCTGGCAAGAGATTAGGCATGTCATCCTAGGAAGTGATGTGGGTTTAACCTCTCCAGAGACTTGTTTGTTGGCAGTTTGGCTGTTTATGGTGGGGGGTGTTTTGTGGTGTGGGGTGTTTTGTTTTTTTTTTAGGAATAGAAGGAATAAAAAATTTAAGTCATTGTGCTGACACTGAAATAGCAGGATACCAACATGATCTTAGAAGCTGGTTTTTGCTTGGGCATCTCCTTTGTTAAATATAGATGAGTAGTGTTTTTAACAGCAGCAGAGGCTTTTGRAGGGCACAAAGCAATGTTAATGAAATGCTGAAACAGTGATGCTGTTTCAAGATTTGTCGTGACTGCAACTGTCAGTTAAGTGTTTCTAATGATGATATCAAGTTAATGGTATGAATTAAGTGTGKTTCAGACACCTATTTTAGCTAAGCATTTAATGAAATATTAAATGGGAAAAATCAATGAATTCTCTGTTCTCAGTTCAGTACCAGTGAAAATGCAATATTGAGAAAACACATCTCCGGGATGGTCCCCAAATGCTAGGGAAATCAGCTACTAGCTGTTCCAAATGGCTGTTGGGCCCCTGCATGTTCCTGAGAAGTTCAATGTCTGGCTGAAGCTTTTGTCACAGATTCAAAGTAACTCTTTGAAGCCCTACTTCAGACAGAAGTCTTTGCAGGTAGCTTTAGTTTCAGTGATGGTTTTGCATGTATGAGGCTGGTTTGGAAAAGTTGTTTCAACAAAGCAATAAAAAGAAGCAGATGTGATCTTCCAAGACTGGTGTAATTATACAAAAGAAACTATTTTTCCAGATAGAAGACATGCTGACAGGCATGTTTTCTGTCAATAGATACGGAATTTTTCTGCTGTTTGCAGGCCAGTTTAGTCACTGGGAGTAATGGTTGGCTGGGTTTAGCACCTGTTGAGTRGTTATTTTCTGACCTGGGTTTACTCTGTAGAGCTTCAGGGTTGTTATTTTGCCTGTGAAAGTGATGGCACACTCTATCATGCAATGTGTATTTAAATTATGTTATAATGAGCTAATTTCACCTTTGATCAGTTTCTGTTCTACTCACCCACCAAATTTCTCATGAAATAGAGAAGTAAATCAGAGCCAAAGTAACCTTTAGGTAAGTGT